CCACCGCCACCGCGGATGGGACATGGGGTATGGTGGGAGGTATAGCCGGGTGATGTGGCCTCAGTGAGGGGCAACATGTCACCTGGGGTGATCCAGGTTTCAGTGAGGCCATGATGTCGATATTTTCATCAACAATGATGTCGTTGATGACAAGAGCCTTGTTGCAGAGAAAGTGGACATTTTGTTGGCCAGTGCGGAGGGGACAGTTGCCAGGGGAATGTGTGAGACTGGAGGAGGTGATGGAGGGATTGGCAAGGAAGATAGGAATGAGGAGGAGGGAGGAGAGGTTTGCCCCCAGGGTCTGGGTCCAGCGGGGTTTAGGGTGATAATGGGGAATGGGGCAGTCAGTGTGGCTGCTGCTGGACAACCAATAGTGAGTGCCACGGTGAGCCTGATGAGCCTTTATAGTGTGTAAACACATTAAAATGTCTGAAGTGATTCGCATATGTAACAACTATTTTTGTAGGCACCACAATAGCCATTTGTAGTAGGGTCTCCCAAACAACCATGATGTGAATGACTAAATTATTCAACAACAACTTGCATTTATATAGCGCCCTCCATGCAGGATAGCATCTCAGAGCGCTTAACAGTGGCGGAGCCTGACTCTGAACCGGGGGGAGGTGGCCATAAGCACGGTCGAAGAGGAAAGTTTTCAGGCGGGACTTGAAAGAGGGGAGAGAGGGGGCAAGGCGGAGGGATTGAGGGAGAGTGTTCCAGAGTTTCAGGGCGTAGTGGCTGAAAGCACAACCTCCGATGTTGGGTGGAGGACGCAAGGGATGAGCAGGAGGCTGGTGCCAGTCGAGCAAGGCGCCGGGTCATGGATTGGGGAATGAGTACGTCGGAGAGATAGGGAGGTGCCAGGGAGTGAATGGATTTGAACATGACAATGAGGATCTTGAAGTCGATCCGTTCAGTGATTGGAAGCCAGTGGAGCCTGGCCAGAACTGGTGAGATGTGAGTAAGGAGTTTGGTCTGAGTCAGAATGCGGGTGGCAGAGTTTTGAATGAGCTGGATCTTGTGAATGGTGGAGCTGGTGAGGAGTGAGTTGGAGTAATCTAAGCAGGAGGTGACAAACATATGCACAAGGGTTTGGGCTGCATTTGGGGTAAGGAACAGTCGGAGGCAGGCAATGTGGCGGAGGTGGAAGAAGGCGATCCTGGTCAGGGGACCGGATCTGGGGGAAAAAGGCCAGCTGGGGGTTGAACCGGACGCCTAGATTGCACACTGGTTCGGTGAGTCTGAGGGAGAACCCAGGGAGGTTGAGCAGTTTAAATCCGCAGGAGTGAAGATGTTGACTGGAGCCAAGGAGTATAGCTTCTGTCTTGTCCATATTCAGTTGCAGGAAGTTTACACTCATCCAGGCCTTGATATCTGCCAGACAAGCTGAGAGAACATCGGCGGACCTGGAATTGGTACTGGAGGAGGCAAAGTAAATTTGTGTGTCATTCGCATACTCGTGGAAGTTTACGGATGAGTCTTGAGTGTGATTCGTATCTGTGGAAGGTATTGCCAAGTGGGAGCATATAGATAAGGAAAAGAAAAGGGCCAAGGATAGAGCCCTGTGGTGCCCTGCAGATGACTGGGCGGGGATGAGAGGAGAAACCATTTACTGAGATGAAATGGAAGCGATTGGTTAAGTAGGGCTCAAACCATGTGAGTGCGGTTCCACTAAGGTAGATGTGGGAGGAGAGCTAATGGAGGATGATGCTGTGGTTGACTGTGTCAAACGCGGCAGAGAGATCCAGAAGGACGAAGAGGCAGAGGGAGTTCTGGTCACAGATGAGAGAGAATGTCGTTTGCGACTTTGACAAGTGCTGTCTCTGTGCTGTGGGCAGGGTGAAAACCAGACTACAGGGGTTCAAGGAGGGAGTGGAGGGAGAGGTGTGACTGAAGTTGACCTGCAACAATGCACTCCAGGACATTGGCAAGGAAGGGTAGGTTGAAGATGGGACAGTAGTGTGAGAGATTAGAGAGATAGAAGGTGGGTTTTTTGAGGAGGGATGTGATGACAGCGGTTTTCAGGGGTAGTGGAACAGAGCCTGAGGAGAGACACTGGTTGACCATGTCAGCCAGCAGCGGGGAGAGACGAGTGAGTTGAGTGACCAGCAGCTGGGTCGGGAGGGTGTCGAGGCAGCAGGTGGTGAACTTCATCTGGGTGATTGTGGTTGAGAGGGAGGAGGGAGAAATGGGGGCAAAGGAGTGTAAGGAGGGGGAGTGGCAGGAGCCGTGGTGGAGGGAGAAGGCGATGTGGATAATCTGGGTGGGGTGGAAGGCAACATGGTGGGGGGAATGATGGAACCAAGTGGACGTTTTCAATTTTTGAGGCAAAGAAGTCTAGGACCTCTTCGCACTTGGCATTTGACGTGAGGATAGAGGGGGCTTGAGGGGTTGCACGGTGGAGGAGGTGATGGACGATGGAAAACAGTGTCTTAGGATTGTTATTTACTTCCAGGATGACCTTGGAGTAAAAGTCAGTTTAGGCCTGTGAGAGGGAGGAGTGGTAGGTGCGGAGGTGCTCAAGCCTCAGCTGGCAGTGAATCGTGAGGCCAGATTTCTGCCATCTGCGCTTGAGCATCTGGGTTTGTGGGTTGAGTGAGCGGAGATGACTGTTGTGCCAGGGGGAGTGGGTGGTTTCAAAACAATCCTGGATTTCAGGGGAGCCAGGGCATTGAAGATTGTGGAGAAATGGTCATTCAGCAGCTTGACGGCTGCATCTGGATCGCTGCAGGTGGAGAGCCAGAGGGATAGGAGGTCCCAGGAAGAGAGGGCATTTGTGAGGGACTCAGAGGGAAGCTTTTTCCAGGGGCAGAAAAAAATGGTGGAGGGCTTGGAAGAGGGGAGGGGGATGAGGGAGGAGAGAGAGATGAGGAAGTGTCCGAGATGGCCTTGTCCACGATAGACAGGTCAGAAATGTCAAGGCCATGTGTGATGACGAGTTTGAGGGAGTGGCCACAGTTGTGGGTCGGCAAGTTGATATGGAGGGTGAGGTTTAGGGAGGAGAGGAGGGCAGTGAAATCCGAGGAGGTGGTGCAAGGAGAGTTTAGGTGGAGGTTGAAATCACCCATTATGAGCAGGTGTTCAGTGCAGAGCGAGAGGGATGAGAGTAGAGAGATGTCGGTGAGGAAGGAGCCAGAAGGTTTGGGGGGGTGGGGGGGGGGGCGGTAAACTAGGAGGATTTTGAGAGAGAGGAGAGATGGTGGAAGGTGAGGTGCTCAACGGAGGAGAAACAGCCAGAGGAATAGGGAGGTAGACCAAGGGAAGCTTGTGAGATGAGGCGGGAACTGTGGTGAAAAGTGCAGCCAGGAAGGGAGGCTTCAATGAGGGGGACAGGGTCACCGGGGAGAGCCAGGTTTCTGTAAGGCCAAGAATATCAATGTGCTCATCCAGGATGAGGTCATAGATAGTAAGGGCTTTATTGGAGAGCGAGCGGACATTTTGGAAGGATATGAGGATAGGTTTGCTGGTGGTATAGAGAGGATTTGGGGTCGTGGGAAAGAAGTGACCATGGAGTTTGAGGAGCAGGGAGAATTGGAGAGAGTATGGATGAAGGAGGGGAAAGGGGTGTTTACTTTCAGAGGTGGTTGCTGCGGAGAGTGAGCGATGGGACAGTTGGGGTAGTTGCTCTGGGACAACCAACGCCGGGAGCCACTATGGGCCTGGCGGAGGAGCCCAGGCTGGAGTAGAGGGAGGTAATGGTGGTAATGGAGAGAGAAGGCAAGAGGGCGATGGGAGAGAAGGGCAGAGTGGGAGTAACTCAGTGTGGGGGGTGGGAGCAGGAACATTTTCAGGGGAAGTGGCTCAGGTAGGCAGCCAAAACACTCATACAAAGACCAGGAGCGAGCGATCATTGGGGCAGCATCAGCCCACGGGCTACAGGCTATTCCAAAAGAAACCCCCTTCTTTTTTCAAACAGCATCATGGAATTCTTTGCATCACCTAAAAACAGGCAAATAGGAACTCAATTTAATATCCGATCTGAAATATGGCATTTCCGTCAACATCTTCCCACCTAAGGCTCCGACCAGCTCAACTTCTCTGGCCTATCCCGACGATTTACCTAATTCAAACTGTCAGTTATGTAACTAAACCAGTGAAGCCAAACAAACAAGTTAAATATTAAAATACAATGAGATATTATGAATATGGTTTTGCACGGCTGTGCATTTTCACTTGTATTAACCAATTATTCCTTCAACTATAGCATATTTAAACTAACTAAAATGTTCGCTGCTGCCATCATGTGCACTGTTTAAAAACTACAATTCTTAAATTGTGGAAAGGGATTTCAAGTGTTTAACTGTCTTAGAAGGCATATTAGAATTTCACTGTGAACGAGGAGTTTTAGAATTGCAGACTAAAAGAGCAATGCTATGTGACACAAAGGCTTTCTGTAAACTATAAACAAATAAGGACTTTGCAGAGAACTGTAGCTCAGTGGTTTGAGCAATAGCCTTAAGTGAGAGACCTGGATTTGATTCCCAGCAGAGCGAAATGTTAGGCAAGTTTCCTTACTCCACACGCCTCTGTTCACCTAGCAATAAGTAGGAACCTGGTTGTTAATCGATTGGTGGGTCACATTCCGGGGGTAATAATCCCGCGCCCCCGCAAAAATAATAATTTGGTCACTTCAATCCATGACTGTTTGTAGGACACTGCTGTGCGCAATTGGCTGCCGCGTTTCACCCACAAAATATAGTCAATTCACTTTACAATATATTCTGCAAAGCAGTTTGAGATGTCTCGAAGATGTGATAAGGCGCCATATCAAATGCAAGGATAAATTCATGTCAGTGCAATCAAAAAATGAAAGGCTATGTTAGAAACAAGAGTTTTTTCAATATCCTTAAGCACTAAAACTAAACATTCCTGTGCTTCATTCTAAATTGTCTTCCTAACTGGCATCCTGCAAAATTGAAATGTTGTAAAAACATGGGTTGCAATGAAGTCTTCATAAATGCCCACATATTTAGTACATATCAGTACACTAGAGATCCAAATCAGCATTTTAGAAAATACATTTATTTTCAAATGATGCAAGCAATTTCTTGGCATTTTTTTGTCACAGCAAAGTAAAAAAATCAATATCCACTCAAAATATCTTGTGAAAAACAGAGAACTCTCTTTCAGTTTCCATTATACAAATTACAAATACGGTCATACATTTTGATCTCCAACACCTGGCAACATGATCTTGACTTCGCCTTTCATTACAACCTTCTCAGATTCTTTTACGATACATGAAACCGCAATCCAGGCAATGGATCTTTTCACTTTAATTATTTCTGCAATTGCTGAGACTGGTTCACCTATATATAAAGGTGCTAGAAAACGGATCTCCTGGGACAGAAAAATGCACCCAGGCATTCTGGTCCCCAGAAGAGCAGACAATAATCCATTAACAAGAAGACCATGCACAATTGGCTTTCCAAACTTGCTGGCTTTGGCATATTCTTCACTCAAATGTACTGGGTTGGTGTCACCTGTTAATTCCGAAAAGCTGAGTACATCACTCTGTGTAAAAGCTCTCGTAAGCTCGGCCTTTTCCCCAACCTGAAAATTTACAGATCGAAGAAAGATATTCTGTAGATTTAAGGTATGGTCTGCTCGCCACTTACTCATCTTGAGTGAGCTCTTAAAAATATTAGGTACAATTATTTGATAGCTAAAAGGCATTTCTTTAAATTACAAACCAGCTTGTTTCAACAACGCCTTTTCGAGACTCTTGTTTTAAACATTAATTGTCAAAGACGTTAGTCAACAGCAGTTCTCTACTATCTCCTGATAGTGCAAGAAGAAATGGAGAGACCTGCAAAGTAGATAAGTTAAAAATAAAATCAGTAAACATTAACCATATTGAAATTATTTTCACAAATTCACCATTTAAGAGACATAAGAATGCAATAACAAGATTAGTTTCCTCTTTACACGTATTCCTAAGGTAATGTGATTTTTGATCAACATTGCTCAGCAAGGTTGTATATAAATTCCTTTCTATGTTTATAAAATGAAATGCTACTGTACTTTCCGTAAAATGTAAATGCATGTTCCATACTATAAATTTCTGTACTATTACACAAGTACAACACCCAGCAAATTTAACCAAATAACACCTATTGCATTTTTATTCTTTAAGAATAATTAGTTAATTATAACTATTATTTCTTGCATACTATACCTGTAACACTCTGAAAGCACATTTCTGACCCTGATAGCATCCCAGGAGTGTCAACGCACTCCAAAGCTTCACAAGACCCCTGTTGTGAATAAACAGCGATATTTTTACCATCTATCACATATTTACATTTAGTGCAGTATTTTGCTAAAAAGTAAAAAGTGAATGCAAGCATTCTTAAACTCCCAAAATGATACATGCAGTTCTCTTAAGAATAATGTATTTATTCTTGTATCAATGCTGGCTTAGTTGGTAGTGCTCTTGTCTCTTAATCAGAAAGTTTTGTTTTAAGCCCCATCTCACGACTTAAAATGGTTGATATGCATATCCCACCTGTTTTGTACTCTCAGAATGGCTGATAAGATCTCTTCTTCAAATGTCAGTACATCAACAGGCAAGGCAGCTCCAATCTGCAAAAAAAATAACAGCACTTTCAAAATAATAGTTTTTAATCTGTTACATACATTTTGACAGCATATTCAGGCTAACAGTTAAAACAGTCTTAATAATAATAATAATAATAATCCTTGCATTTGATATAGCGCTTTTCACGTCGGGAGGACGTCCCAAAGCGCTTCACAGAACACACTGTAAAGTGAATTGACTGTATATTTGTGGGCAAACGCGGCAGCCAATTGCGCACAGCAATGTCCCACAGACAGTCTTCTTAAAGTCATTGCGGTAATAGTAAGAAACCATTCAACAACTAGCTTGTGGTTATTCTCCATTTGAGCATCCATCCCTCCTAATCTCTCCCATATGCCTCTATTTACGTCATCCTCATGTATGCATCAAGTTATTATTATTATATCTTATTACTGAAGAGACATAATGAGTTGGTTAATATAATGATATCCTACAGAACATCATTTGGTCTGCATATTTTGTGGTACACATTTTTTCAATTACTTCCAAAAGTTAATGAAAACTGTGCTAATCTTAACAAAGGACTCACATTTAAATTTGTAAATGCATGTAAAAACAATTTGAAAGTATATTGTTTTATTCTGATAACTCATTTTTCCTATGCTTCATGATTTCACCTGAACTACATAAAATACTAAAAAAAATTATTGCCTCCACTACAAACCCGCTAAAGAAATGAAGTTTCTGGCTCGGGCCAGAACACACACACTGAGCTCGCACTAATTATCCAATATTACTGTGGGTGGGGTGGCTTCAGATGGGCAGGTGTGGTGCACCGCTCCACTCGGAGCTCCTGTTGTGTGATTGTCTGTGCCTCTCTCTATATGTGTTTGTGAGTGAGTGACACTATGTGAATATGTGTCTCTCCCTCTACTCGTTTGAGAGTGACTCTGTGTGAGTCTCTCTCTCTCCTCTGTATGTGCTTGTGAGTGTCTGTGTGTGAGTGTCTCTCCTCTGTATGTAGGTGTTTGTGAGTGTGTCTGTGAATGTGTATATGTGTGTCTCTCTCTCCTGTCTGTGTGTGGATATGTCTTATTGTGCTTATGAGTGTGTGTGTGTGTCTCTCTCTCTCTCGCTCTTTGAGAATGTGTGTCCCTCTGTGTCTGTGAGTGTAGGTGTCTCTCTCTGGGTCTCTATGTCTGTGTGCGGTGCCGGACCCTGAGAGGCAAGAGGTGGTGAGCTCCTGTAGCCCCGCAGTCAGGACACTGGTCCTGAGTGTTTTTTCGCGGATCTCCAGGTGCCCCCCCCTCCCAAATGGGCCACCCAGTTTTTGTTAAAATTAATTTTTTTGCAACAATCAGTACCTATGTTTAGCTTTTAATCAATAAAGTGAAAAAATGTAGGTTAGCTGTAAAATGTACCTCTGAATAGCAGAAATCAACACCCCCCTCAATTTTCCAAAAACCTGCCAAATTCCCCCGCAATTTTGGGTAAATAATTCCTCATTTTTCTATTGGCCCAGGTTATGACTGAATCATGGTCTCTGAGACAATGTCTGAGCTTTTCATAAATGTTCTCTCAACTGAAATTAATTAGTCTTATATTTACTTTCTGCTACCTAGCATACATAATGTTAAACTGTATATTTCAATTTCATAAAAGAACAGTTCCAATGACAATTAAAAATTGTGGTGAAATTACGTTGATGGAAGACTGAGGTGACCTCAGCAGGCAAAATAATGGCACATGAATCAAGGGAGAACACGATCATTTAGCAGTCTAAAGTAGAAGGAACTAACTCATTGTGCAAACAGGGTAGTGCTAACTAATCTTTAAACAATCCTGTCAAATAATTTATATTACAATTGCTGTTTTTTTTCACAGTACAATACTTAATCATAAATAACTAAATGAAAGAAGGTGGCCAGTGAATCCATCAGTCATTTAGTAGTACAATAGTAGAATAATATCACAACAGCCCATTTGTGGAGGGTACCATTATTTGCTGCAACAGAATGCAATCCAATAGACATTCACTCAAGATTACCCAAATGGTAAATTCTTGCCAGACATGCTATTTGGGGAGCTATGAACCGAAGATTAAGGGTTTTGATTACAGCAAACGAGAGCAGGGTACACAATGCTAATGCTGTGAATTCTTTGTTAATTATATGGTGATGACATGACCTTCATGTGGTGTGGCAAATTTGAATGGAAAAATTAATGACTCACCTCTCCATGCAAATCTCTCAGCGCTGCAACGATCAGGTGTTTGAATTGGACAGCATTCAGTTGGACACTAGTTTCATCAAATTCACTAAATTAAAAAAAAACATCAGTGATGAATGATTCGAGGAGTTAGAGCTGCCCTTGACTCTGTCTCAAGTCGGTCTCGGTCTCAAATTGTGGAGTCCTGTAGCCTTGCAAGCGAAACACCTGGGTTCAATTCCAGGCAGAGGGCGAAACCTTGGGCAAGTTTCCTTACTCCACACAGAGCCTAATAATAATCCCTCCAAAACCAAAAACAATAATAAATTGGTCATTTTCAATCCACGACTGTTTGTGGGACATTGCTGTGCGGAATTGGCTGCTGCGCAATTTGCCCACAAATATAGTCAATTCACTTTACAAAATATTCTGTGAAGCACTTTGAGACGTCGAGAAGACATGAGAAGTGCTATATCAAATGCAAGGATTATTATTATTATAAGTCCCTCAGCACAGCCCCGTGAGTTGCTGCATTGTTGGGAGTTACTGACATTTCGATGGGATGTTAAACTGCGGTCGGCTTGTTCTGGTGAATGACATTGTAGGTAAAGAGAAGGCAGTTTCTCCCGGTGTCTTGGCCAATAAGCCTCCAGACTAGTAATTTGCCTCATGGCTGGGAACTTGCCACCGACAACAAAATATCGTGACACTTGACTTGTGAAGCACTTTCAAGCATTTCAATGTAATAAATGTAATAAAGCACTTATAGAACGCGTTCTTTTTCTCAAGGAACTAATGCTCTGTCCCATGTCCCGATGTGTGATCCCCCCCCGGACCCCCTCCCCCCCGACCGCACTCACAGCCTAACTTTCATGTACTGGTAGTCAGACAAGTTCTTATAAACGCGCCTTTCGTAGCTCTCGCCCTCCTCTGAGCGGATCATTGTTACATTAAACACAAATATTCATCGACTTTTTAAAAAAAAAGCTTAACTCGAATTCTATTTAAAAAGCCCGTCCGGTTGCAGTGACGCTCGGTGCCGGCGCTGCCCCCGGGGCTCGGCTGTCGGTGAATCCGGGTCCCGCCGTCTCCAGGCCCCGAGCGGTGCAGCAGCGGCCCCGCTCCCCCGGCAACGGCAGCCGCGACCCCAGCGGCCGCTTTCACTGACGCTTCTGTCTTCTTTACCACCATTTGATAAAATTGCTGAAAATAAGTCGCCACTTGTGAACTGGGAGATATTGCGGTGCTGAATGCTGTAGAGGAACTGTTGTGGCAAATTTATTTTAGCTTTGATTTTGACACCTTCTGGCAACTTTCAAATGCCTCCGCACTCTCGTCCCTGACCTGACCTGACCTGACCTGACCCGGTCCAACCTTCCTCCCCCACTGCCTCTTCCTCTCGTTTGCTCCACATCCCCCGAACCCTTCCTCCACCTCCTCCTCAGCCCTCTCTCTGGAGGGTTCTCCCTCAATCTCATCTGCACAATCCACTCACATTGAAATCCCACCTTAAAACCTCCCTCTTTGACTGTACCTTCAGACATCTCCTGTCTCTCACCTACAGGGCCACAATATGTTATCATACTGCTCTCACCTCTGACCCCGAGCACTCAATTTACATCTTTTTAACACCGACACTTTTTTTTAAAGTTTAAATATGTTGTCATAACACCTGACCTGGCAATTGCTTGTGATGGTTACTTAATGAGAATCATTCAGTAGACTATTTTGTCCAGACATTTCCCATTAAGAAGCTTCCCCTTGAGTTAAATTATTTAAATGCACTTATGTCATTTGTTCATAGAAGCAGAATTTATTTTGTTGATACCACTGGAACAGCTTATAACTTTGGAGCTACGAAAGGTACATTAGAAAGAAGTGAATATGCATTGACCTGCGTTCAAATCCTTTCAAGGATTCCAACAGAACTCACTGAGCAGCAAAACTATTTGAAGCTGCTGCTGCTCACATTGGGGCAGCTCGAGTGAAAGATTATTACGAATATTTCATTTAGAACACACGACAATCATGTTGGCATCATTGTTGCTCAAGCATCTTACCGTTCTCTCAGTTCAGCTTTCATTACCATTCTACCAAGTAAGGATTTATCCCAGTTTGATGTTTAGTTTAACAGTATTAACATTGCCTTCATGGTAGTTTCTCATGCTGGTATGAATCTGAAGCTGTGGATTTACACTTCAAAGTCAAAATTATCAAATTTCAATGAGATTATTAGGCACCATGCCTGTGGGCTGACACTGCCCCGCTGATTGCTCTGCTCCCAGTCTCGGTGTGCGCACTTGGCTGCCGCCCCTGACCCGAGCCAACCACTCCCAAAATGCCCCACTCCTACTCCCCACCCTTTGTTATTCCCTCACGCTCCTTTCCTATTGCTCTCCTGTCTTCTCTCCTTCCTTGCTCTGCTGTAGTCTGAGCATCCTCCGCCAGCCTTACCGTGGCACTCGTTGATGGTTGTCCCAGAGCAGCCACCCCGACTGCCCCATCGCCAATCTACTCCACAAAGCCTCCCCCACATCCAACAGGTAAATCCCTTCTCTCATCCACATCCTTCCCAACTCTCTCACCTCATACTTGACAGTTGTTCCGCCTCCCTCAAACCCTGCCCCATCTGCACCCCCATTCGCATTGGCCTCCAAAATGTCCGCTCCTCAAATAAAGCTCTTATAATCCACAACCTCATCCTGGACGAGCAAATAGACATTCTTAGGCTCACGGAAACCTGTCTATCCCCAGTGACCCCGTCTCCCTCCCCCCCCGCTACACTTTTCACCACACCTCTGGCCCCAATCAACGCACCTGCGGGGTGGCCCTCATCTCCCAAACCTCCCTTGGTCTATCCCACTATTTCTCTGGCTGTATCACCTCTTTTGAGCACCTCACCCTCTAACATCCCTCCTCTCCTTCAAAATTCTCCTAGTCTACCGCCCCCTCCAAAATCTCCTCGCTCCTTCCTTGTGGATATCTCCTGTCTCCTCTCATCCTTATCCCTCTGCATAAAACACTGCTCATAATGGGCGATTTCAACCTTCTTCTCAATTCCCACTGCCCCATCTCCTCTGACTTCACTGCCCTCCTCTCCACCCTAAACCTCATCTTCCACGTAAACTCCCCGACCCACAACCGTGGCCACCACCTCAACCTCATCATCACCCATGGCCTACACCTCTCTTATCTGTCCAGCATATCACTCGCCCTGCCTCCAAGCCCTCCACCATCTTTTTCTGTCGATGGAAACATCATCCCCCACCTCCCCCCGCGAGTCCCACACAAATGCCCTCTCATCCTCGGACCTTCTCTCCCTCTGGCCTTTAGACCCGCAGTGATCCAGATGGAGACACCAAGCTGCTAAATGATCACCTCTACTCAACTTTCAATTCCCTTGTCCCTCTGAAATCCAGGACCATCTCCAAACCTATCTGCTCTCCCTGGTCGAACAGTCATCTCTGCTCCCTCAAATCCCAAACCCACCACCTCCTCCACACCCCCTCTCAAGCACCCTCGATCCTTCCCCACTTCTGATGCTATGTGCAAAGAGGTCCCGAACTTCTTTAGCTGTAAGATAGACAACATCAGCCTAGCTAACTCTTCCCCCGCCCCCATGCCTCCTCATCACCCTCTCCTTCCAAGGCCCCCACCCTGCACTCTTTTGTCCCCATCTCTCCCTCCTCCCTTTCCTCCACAATCACACAGATGAAGCCTGCTGCCTCAACCCCCTCCCCACCCAGCTTCTGGTCACTCAACTTCCCCTCCTCTGCCCACTGCTCGCTGACACAATCAACTAGTCTCTATCCTCAGGCACTGTCCCACTCCCCCCTCAAAACCACTGTCATCGCTCCTTAAAAAAACTATCCTGATCCCTGCAACTTTACAAACTTCAGACCCATCCCAAACCTGCCTTCCTCACTCAAGTTTTGGAACGCATCGTTGCAAATCAACTTCGCTCACACCTCACCCTCCACTCCCTACTTGAACCCCGTTCATCCTGTTCACAACACAGAGACAGCGCTCGTCAAAGTAACACATGGAGTCCTCTCTCTCTCTGATCAGGGCTTCCTCTGCCTCTTCATTGTCCTGGGCCTTTCTGCTGCATTCGACACAGTCGATCACGCTGTCCTCCTCCACCACCTCTTCCCTCCACCACCTCTCCCCCCTCATCCACCTTAGTGGGACCACACGCGCATGGTTCAAGTCCTACTTAACAAACCGCCAATACTTCTCGACAGATGTTTTTTTCTACCCCCCCCCCCACCACCTGGTCACTTATGGGGTACCCCAAGGCTCCACTGTTGGCCCCCCTTCTTTATCTGCATGCTCCCACTCGCCAATGCCATCCGCAGACGTGGGGTCAACTTCCACATGTATGCGGATGACACCCAAATCTACTTCTCCTCCAGCTGTGATTTCCAGTCTGCTGATGTCCTGTCAGCTTGTTTGATGCAGCAAGGCTGCAAATTTCCTGCAGCCGAATGTCAGCAAGACGGAAGCCATACTCTTTAGCTCCCATCAACTTCTTCTCTCCTGTGGGTCTGAATTCCTCAACCTCCCAATCACTGAACCTGTGTGCAACTTAGGCGTCAGATTCGATCTCAGCTTTGCTTTCTACCCTTCTGTTCCTTGACCAGGACTGCTTTATTCCACCTCCATCACATTGCCGCCTCCGTCCGTACCTCATATCCACAGCAGTCGAAACCCTCATCCATGCCTTCGTTGCTTCCCAGCTGGACTATTCCAATGCCCTCTTCGTGGCTCTTCCCAGCTCCACCATATACAAAATTCAATTAATTCAAAACACCGCCACCCAAAATATACTCATTGCACAAAACTCCGTACCCCCATCACATCAGTCCTTGCCAGGCTCCACTGGCTCCCAATTAGCGAACTGATTGATTTCAAGATCCTTTAACTTGTTTTCAAACCCCTTCATCCACCTCCCTACCTAGGAGAAGCCACAAAATAAGATTCACTAAAAAGCAGCAATTCAGCACAATTGCAAAATTTACTAAGGCTTTAAATGTAGAGATAACACAAGGCCAGTAATTTCGCCCAGTCAAAGCCTGTTAGACTGCTTAGCATTAAAATTTAAGATTTCAAGGCAGAGAATTGTAGAAAATTCTTACATCGAGCCTAATTTGGAAGCTTTTTTTTACTTAAAGCTGAATTTAAGAATTTTTCTGAATTGTTTACAATCTTAAAATTTAAAACATGTTATAGGCCAAGACTTGGTGTAATCTCAGGGCGGGATGACAGTATTTGCTAAAAGGGCAGAAACCTGGATGTTAGCATGTGTTGTCATTACCATGAGTATCCTCAGGAATTTCATGCCCAAAGCCTACCAATTTTTTTTTACCAGTTCAATGCAAGAATAGAATGCGATACTGGCAAATCTAATTTTATGGAACAGGGGCAGCTTCTTCCATTAATAATAATAATAATACTTGCATTTGATATAGCGCTTTTCACATCGGGAGGACGTCCCAAAGCGCTTCACAGAACACACTGTATACTTGTGGGTGAACGTGGCAGCCAATTGCGCACAGCAATGTCCCACAAACAGTCGTGGATTGAAAATGACCAATTTATTATTGTTTTTGGTTTTTGGAGGGATTATTATTAGGCTGTGTGTGGAGTAAGGAAACTTGCCCAAGGTTTCGCCCTCTGCCTGGAATTGAACTCAGGTCTCTCGCTTGCAAAGCGAGTGCTCTAACCACTGAGCTGCAGGACTCCACATTAATAAGTTGCATGAAATAGGCAGCTCCTCCCATGTCAGTTGTGACCTTTGAATTAGCGAAAGCCTGTTGCTGAATGCTATCTGTGCCAATAATCAATAACAAACCCCCTCTACTTTGTCTCTTCAAATGATTTGCTTCCCACCCTTGCCCGGTCACCTGCGGCATACCCCAGGGCTCCATCCTTGGCTCCCTCCTCTTCCTCATCTACATGCACCTTCTTGGTGATGTCATCTGCAGACATGGGGTAAACTTCCCAGGTAAGTGGATGACACACAAATCTACTCCTCCTCCACCACTAGCTGCGACTCTAGGTCACTGACAAGGACCCCCTTCCTCCACCTCCTCCACGTTGTCTGCCTTCGACCGCACCTTACTCCAAACGCAGCTGAAACACTCATCCATACCTTCCGCCTCGACTATTCAAATGCCCTCCTCGCCGGTCTCCCCAATTCCACCGTACACAAAGTCCAGCTGATCCAAAACTCCGCCGTCTGCACACTGGCCCACTAAACTCTGTATCCCCTTCAAATCAGTTCTGGTCAGGCTCCACTGGCCCCCTATTGCCGAACAGATTGATTTCAAGATCCTCATACTCGCTTTCAAATACCTTCATGCCCTGGCACCTCCCTACTACTTCGATCTGCTTACTCCCCAACCCACTACCTGCAGCCTCGACTCAACTGATTCCAGCCTCCTGCAAATTCCTCATGCCCTCTGTTCCACCATCAGTGGCCGTGATTTCAGCCACTTTGCCGCAAAACGCTAAAACACTCTTCCTCTATCCCTCCACTTTCCCCCTTCCTCCTCCATCTTCAAATCGTGCCTGAAGACCTTCCTCTTCGACCGTGCCTATGGTCACCACCCCCCTGCCCCCGACTCGGTGTCGTGATCCGCCACTGTCAAGCGATAGGGAGGCTTCCCTGTGTGAGGGGCGCTGTGTAAATGCGAGTTGTTGTTGTAATCAACCCAGCAGAAATTAAATATTTGCTCAGGCCAACAGACTCTAAATACAGCAGCAAAATGTTGTCCACTTACACCACAGTGCAAGCTCCTACCATTTAGGAAGGAAGAGTACCTATCATACGCTTTAAACCCTTGTTACAGGAATGATTAAAAGAGATGGGTTCCACTGCTACAAAACGCTCTGTCCAAGATAGCGTAAATTATTTTCATTTAAGATATTCTTAAGAGACAAAACAATTTCTGCACAAATGGATATTTTTGCTTGTCAAGGCCATTCTTGCCTTTCATACAAGGATCAAGCTGGATTGGTGTGGAGTGCAAAGATATTTATGGAAATTCAAAGGTATTCCTGGAGGGTCAAGTGCAGTTGGGACTCCTGTTGATGCAAATCAATGCAGGGAAGCAGTAAGAGACCTGTGGAAGCGGTTTCCACCCACTAGCAGTACGTTTTGGCAATTTTGAACAAGGACCCTAGATGGACTACCTCCCTCGTCACCCCACAAAGATACAATTTGTATTGGGCCTTTATGTCAGGACATCAGAAAGGCGCTGGACAGTCAGGGATATTGACCGATGAGTGTGCAGCTCTGACTGATTCAGATCAATGCTAAAACTATTCTTTCTGGCTTATTTTCTAATTTATTTTCATTGTCTAACAGAAGGAATAAACTAACTTGAAGGGAGTTTCACATTACCGCAGATTAGTTTACCCTTTCTGTCCGACTATGAAAATAAAATGGAAATAGGGCAGGAATAAATGTTTACAATGCAGATTGAAAAATGCCTGTTGCAGACAGAAATCACTGAGTCTTTATCCGGATATCCGGAGTTGTTCGAATTTGGAATGATCTGCCTGAAAGGGTAGTGAAGTCCGATTCGATAACAGCTTTTAAGAGAGAACTCGATAGGTATCTGGGGAAGATGGGTTTACAGGGTTATGGGCAGAAAGCTGGTGATTGGGGTTAGTAAAAGTGACGCTCTGTCAAAGAGCCGACACAGACTCGATGGGCCGAATGGCCTCCTTCTGTGCCGTAAAATTCTATGAATCTATGAATATTTACACTCAAATTCACAGAATTCTTTACAAATTTTACAGCATTAATAACAACAACAAAAGATTCCACTTATAGAGCGCCTTTCATGTCGGGAGGACGTCCCAAGGCGCTGTACAGTTGGATCAGGACCCGAGCGGGGGGGGAAATGGTCAGGGTGAGGGGTGGGAAGGGAGGGAGCGAGGAGGGGGTAGAGAGTCGAGAGGGGAGCTGAAGGCACGGTCAAAGAGAAAGGTCTTGAGAACGGCCTTGAAGGAGGAAAGGGAGGAAGCGGCGAAGGCACTGGGGGATAGAGTTCCAGAGCCTAGGGGCTGAGAGGCTGAAGGCCCGGCCACCGATGGTAGGGCGGTTGGGGCCGGGGATGTGGAGCAGACCGGAGCCAGAGGAACGGAGGGTACGGGCAGGTAGGTAGGGGGATAGTAGGTTGGAGAGGTAGGAGGGAGCAAGGCCGTGAATGGCCTTGTAGGTGAGGATGAGGATCTTGAATTCGATCCTCTGGGGGATG